TATATATATATATATATATATATATATATATACATTTATATATATATGAAAAAAATATTTTAACAAAATTTTTTAATAACATTTTGATACAATATACATATTATTCTTTTATTAATTTATTATTTATTTATTATTATAATAATGTATTCTAAACTCAGAAAAATTCAATAAACGAAAATTATGAATTGTGGAAATGTTTTCGTTACCGTATCATATTACCCAAAGGTATTTCAAAATGTTGTCGGTGTCCTTTTTTTGGTTAGCTCGTGGTGAGGGGTCCCTGCACCCTACGAGGGTATCAAAATCTAAACCAATATGAATTCATGTTTTGGGGCCTACTGACATGCATATAATATATATATCATTATTTGAAATTAAGAAAAATTATCAGTACAGTGAACATCATATACTTATTTGTGTTTGATATATAAAAGTAAATTTTAAATTTAAATCATTTTCACGATAAAATTTGTAATTATGTATATATTTTAAATTAACATTATCATAAAAATTTTTACATATATTTTTGTACAAAGATATATACATTTTGAAGATGACATTAAACAATAATAAATTATATAATTGTAATTCAATTACAAGTGAACAATAAATTTAATAAATAATAAATTTTATTAATTATTTATATTTATTTTCATCATGGTGTACACAAAACATCATCTATGTTTTTACACCCTTATGATAATTTATCATTACTTATCTATTTCAAAAGAGTCAATTTTCTAAATTTACTACAAATGTAAAGAAAATTAAGAAAAAAAAACTAAATGGTGAAATACGGTATTCTGTCAAATATGAGATCTTCTAGTAGACCAAGAATTAAAGATAAATCCCTTAAAATATTGAAGTTTATTTTATGAAATGACCTTTCTTAATATATGCATATTTCCTTCATACTTGGAATCTAGAATTTAATCCTTGAAGAAACACATAATCAAAAGCATAGTATATCCTTAAGAAGTAACTAGGTTCAGGAGATACCTTGCATAGAGAAATAAAAAGTTGATCATGAAGGCTTGTGTTACCAATGCCAAGGTCAGGTTTTGTATCGCCAAAATAATCCTTAAGGGCACTGTGCTTCACAAGAAAACCAGACTTAGAGAGAAAACCAGTGAAATAAGAACCAGAAGTATGCAACTCTGTGGCTATAACAGCATCAGCATTCAAATACTCCTTCAGAAATCCTTCCACCATCACTCTAGGCATAGTGGAGAAGAAAACCCTGGACCCTACTGAAGCAACTACCTCATAGGCCTCAAGATTAAGGTTCTCCAAGTAAAACTTTGGTAACACTGCCCTTGAAGTGTTCTCCATGTCCTTCACTTTGAGTCCACAAAAGGAGATGAAGATCATGAGTCTGAGCTTCATTTCATAGTTCAGAAACCACAGTATAGGACATGAACAAAGCAAGAGAAATGCCCTGAAGATGCTTCCACCTTCAAAGGCAACCAGCATGAAATAGGGAAAGAAGGAACGTGTCCTTAAGAGGACTTTGTGGAAGTCACAAGCAAGGGTTTGAGACCCTCTACCCTCCAAATCACACTTGACAATATCAGAGAACGAGGAAGGTTGTTGCAATGCTTTATATGAAAGATCACCCCAATCAAAACCGTGGCTTTTAATTTTCCTTGCTACTCCATAACATGATTTAACAAGCACCTGGTTCATGACCCAATTTGCAAGCCTTAGCAACTCCATGGACGACACCATTTTTTCAGTTTCTCTTATCACTCTAATGTTTACGCCAACATAAATATGACAGAGAAACGAGTGGTTATTTCTGTCATCAGAAAGTGGCAGAGACACATTTATAGTATTAAAATAGATAGGTGCAATTTGCTTTCTATATATATAATTTGTTTTATCTTTTATATTCTCTATCTTTTTTTCAATATTTCTTTCGGACAATGACAATATTTTTTTAACATTATTTATCTCATTTTGTGATTAATTCAACATCAATAATAATAATAATGATAAACATTAAGATAAACATAACAAATAAATAAGGCATAATACCCAATTTTGTCCCCACTTTGGTTCGGAAATCTCAAATTAGTCCCTTTATAGAAAAGTGAGTTGAATGGATCCTTACTTGTAATTATTTGACTCTAATGAGTCCCTTCCGTTAAATAGAGGGAAACGGAGTTAGTGGACTGATGATGTGGCAGTCGTATTTGGTGAGGTGTCAATACGGAATAGTTTGGTTGCTTACGTGGTGTTAGGGTTCCCATTTCCATTTGTGGTTGTATTAAAAATTGGGGATAAAGGTTTTAGGGCTCATTTGTTCGAGACTAGGGCATGACCGAGAAAGAAGGCAGAGGCAGGCAGTGTTTCGAGATTACAAGTCATCGCGGGAACTGGTGAGAACTTGTAGACAAAGCATTTGTGAGTGGACGACCATTGGTGGGGTAAATAACGAAAAGCGACTTTGGAAGGTGCGTTTATGGTAGGTTTTGTTCTATGTTTCGTTGCTTTCGTTGTGGTCCCCCCAGAAGTTTTGATTTATTTTATGGTTTGTCTGTGTTGTGTGCCCCATTGTCAGTGCATTTGCTTTGTTTGTGTTGCGACGTTGTCGTTGTGGTCCCCCTTCATAGTGTGTGGTACTGTGTTGTGGCATTTGCTTTATTTAATGTCATAAATGTGGTTTTGTTTTGTTTGAGTTGTTTATGGTCTGTACAGTAGTATGTTTATGCTTTGTTTTTTGCTTAGATATCATTTGGGTTAAGGGTTAAGCATAGATTAACTAACTGTGACCAATTTTATATTAGATAATATGGCCAACTCA